AGGCAGACCCGGGATTTCAGTTTTCCCCATTGCATGGGACTCGATCCTGCAGTTAAACCCCAGCACCTGATCCCAAAATAAAGTCTTGAAGGGAGACAGGAGCACCCAAACCACCACAGAGCCTCGATGGCAGCATAAATTTCACCCCTCATTTGCGTCCTGTGCCCACATCCAAATTCCCACGCTGGGAGAACAACTGGAATTTTTAATTCTGCTTCCAAAAGTCACCAAACACGAAGGGAACCCGGCCGCCCTCACCGTGCCAAATTAATTCCACCCAGCTCCTCCACAGAGCAGAGCTCCTCATGGAGCCACAGCTAAAGATCCTCACCAGACCCATGGCCACGAGATGAAATACGAGTGAAAAACGATTAATAATTAAAAAAAAAAAAAGGCAGAGGAAGAGTTGCAGAGCAGCAAAGTGAGGAACTACTTTCATTCACCACCACATTTATGAAGAGCTCCTGCCTTGCAAAACCCTCCCTGGAGTTACTGAAGCAATTAAGGCTTGGTGGAAAAATCCCACCATCTCACCCGTGTTTGGGTTGCGCCTCTTCACTCCCTCTTTCACCAGAACAAGCCTAAACAGGGGCCAGAATGAATATTAAACAAGAAAGGCTCCTCTCTAATAAACTCCTCCGTTTCTCTCTGTCTCTTTTGTTTTTTTTTTAAAGTAGTTGAAATCCAACAACTCCAGCAAAACCATCAGAATTCAAGCCAGCCCAGCTCTTCCTGCTCAGCCTCCAGAAGGGCCCACACGCTGCAATTTGCAACCAGGACGGGCAGAATCCTTGAGGAATCACACAATTCCTTGGAAAACACCACCAACAAGCACCCCAAACACTTTTGGAAAGCTCCAGGATGACCTTTTAGCTCCATTGCTACGCTGAGCACAACTTCAACCCTCATTAGGTTGTAAATTCTTCCAGGCAGAACCTTTCTCTCCCCGTGTCCATAAACCAGTTATTATATAAGTTATGGTTTTGATAGCCAGGACAAGGAGCAGCCCTGGGACCGTGGCTGCTCTTGAACGGGGACTGGCAGCAAACTCTTACCCAGAGTCCTTGAGCCCAAAGGAACTTTGGCTGCCCAAATCCATCCTGCTGTGCAGCCGAGGGTCTGCAGGAGCTCAGGGAACACGCAGAGCCAGGCAGGGGCTGGGCAGTCACGTCGCCTGGGCTCGCACAACAGGAACTGTCGCTTTCGGCGGAGCAACGCGCTTTCGGGACTGACACGTTCTGGAGTCCCAGGGCTTCCCATGGAATCACCTCAGCGGGAAGGGACCCACAGGGATCGCCCAGCCCAGCGCTGACACCCCAACAATCCCACCCTGAGCATCCCTGGCAGTGCTGGCCAGACACTCCTGGAGCTGTGGCAGCCTCGGGGCTGGGACCATGCCCTGGGGAACCTGTCCAGCGCCCCACCACGCTCCGCAAAAAGAACCTTTTCCTGCTATCCAACCTCAGCCTCTCCTGACACAGCTCCACAGACCAACTTTTCCCACACTCCTGCAACAACACAGCCAAGGAACCCTTGGCCTGGCAGCGCCCAGCCGCCTGCCCAGGCTCCCAGCGATGTGTCCGTGACTCTGTCCCGACTCCAGCACCGCTCCGAGGGGACGAGGCCAGGGACCTTTGCCTGTGTCGCGGGGGCCTCAGCACGGCACGGCACGGCACGGCACTTTGGGGCACCTGACCGGAACCAGCACGTCCCAGCCCGAGCCCCAGGCGGGTCCCCGGGCAGGCGGGGAGCGCTCCGGCCGCCCCGGGCCGTGCCGCCCCTCACGCCGAGCCCCGGCCGCTGCGCAGCCCCGCGCGGGGAGCGGCTTATCCCGCCGGGCTGCCGCGGGCAGCAGCGCCCCGGCCCCGCGGGGGGATTATCACCGCGGCCCCCCCTGTCCGCAGCCGGCCGGGGGGAGATAAGGGACGCCCGAGGGGGGTAAAAACAACCCCGGGCGGGCAGGGCCGCGGCGGGGCGGGCAGCGCCGGCCCCTCGGCCGCCAACGACCTTGGGGTGCGCGGGGACGGCCCGGCCCGACGNNNNCGCAGGGGGGCTCGGGGGGGCGCGGCCGGGGGACCCCGGCAGGGACCGCGGAGACCCCGAGACACGCGTGGGACAGCGTGTCGCCTCCCCCCCCGGGAGTGCCACACACACGGACCCCAGAGCCGCGCGTGTGACACGGTGTCACCTCCCCGGCAGTGCCACACGGGCCCCAGAGCCACGCGTGTCCCCGTGTCCCCGGGAGTGTCACACGGACCCCAGACCCAGGAGTGTCACCTCTCCCCCGGGAGTGTCACACACACGGACCCCAGACTCGCGCGTGTCCCCGGGAGTGTCACACACACGGACCCCAGACTCACCGTGTCCCCAGGAGTGTCACACGGACCCCGGACCCACGCGTGTCACCTCCCCCCCGGAGTGTCACACACACAGACTCCAGACCCACGCGTGTCACACGGTGTCACCTCCCCGTCAGTGTCACACGGACCCCAGACTCGCGCGTGTCACCTCCCCCCAGGGATTGTCACACACACAGACCCCAGACCCACATGCGTCTCCATGTCCCCGTCAGTGTCACACGGACCCCAGACCCACGCGTGTGACACGGTGTCACTCCCCCTGTCACTGTCATAGGACCCCAGCCCCACTCGTGTCGCCACTGGGCAGCCCCCAGCCCCCGTCTGTGCCACCCTCCCCACGGGTGACCCCAGTGTCCCCCAGACCCCCTGGTGTCACCCCCCCGGGTCACCTTCCCCGGCCCCAAACCCACTCGTGTCCCCACCCTGGTGCCTCTTTGAGACCCTCGGGGTCACCCTGCCCACGTGTCACCCCCTGGGCCACCTCTGTGCCCCCAGACCCACGGGTGTCACCCCACGGGGCATCTCCCTCGCGCCCTCTGGGTCATCCCTTACGTGCCACCCCCCCAAAGCCACTCGTGTCACCCCTCCTGTCACCTCTCCGGCCTCCTCTGGGCCACCCCCCCACGTGTCACCCCCTCCCCGTGCCCCCAGGTCACCTCCCTGTCCCCCCCAGACCCACTCGTGTCCCCCCACGCGGGTGCCACCTCCCCACGCCCCCAGCCCCACCGGCGTCACCCCACAATGTCCCCACCGGGTCACCTCCCCGGGCCACCACGTGCCACCCGCCGTGTCCCCAATGTCCCCGCGGCCACTCGTGTCCCCCCCCCCGCTCCGGGAAGGGGACACGGAGCCCAAGGTCACGGTGGGCTCCGAGCCAGCCCGGCAAGGACAGCACAAGGCTGCGGGCCCGGGGGGGACACGGGGACACGGGGACAGGGCTGTCCCCACCCGGGCGGGGCAGGGCCACCCCCGGCACGCGGCCGGCTGCCGGAATTCCGCGTGGAAAAGCCACATTTTCGGGGGGATTTGGAATTTTTAATCGGGGGAAGGAAAGGAAAGCAAAGCTTTGAGCAAAGCCCCCCCTCTCGGGGGTCGCGTTCCTCGCTGCAGCGCGGGGATTTTCCCTTTTTTCCCCTTTTTCCTAAAATGAACAGGGGTGGGGATCCCCTTGGCTGGGCACCCCCAAATCCTCCCTGCACCCCCAAAATCCCAAAAACCCCACGGGGGTTGTGGTCACCCCCACCCTGGGGACCCCTCCCCAATTCCCAGCTGGCACCAGCAGAAGCTGGCAGAGCTCCCAGGGGGGCAGTGGGGCCATGCCAGGCTCTGCAGGGCACCCCAGAGCCACGGGGGACCCCAAAACACCGGGAAAAAACAAAGCAGGACCCCCCAAAGCAGCACCACGGGAGCCTGGAGTCAGGGACCACTGCATGGCACCCCAAAAATGTCCCAGAAGGAGCCTGGAATTAGGGCTGGAACCCCAAAAAAATGTCCCAGAAGGAGGCTGGAATTAGGGTTGGCACTATGGGAACCCCAAAAAATGTCCCAGAAGGAGGCTCTTTTTTTTTGCCTTAAATAACCCCGGCTCGGCTCCTCGCCCGCCCCTCGCCCTCCCCCCGCCCCCCGGGGGGGTTTTGGGGCGGTTTTAGGGCGGTTTTGGGTCATTAACCGCACGGAGCAGGTGGGGAAACTGAGGCAGGACAGGGAAGCACGGCTGGGGGTGGGGAGTGAGGGGTCCCTGAGCCCCCAAACAGAGCGGGGGGGGGGGGTTTGGGGGGGAGAAGCTGGCAGAGCTCCCAGGGGGGCAGTGGGGCCATGCCAGGCTCTGCAGGGCACCCCAGAGCCACGGGGGACCCCAAAACACCGGGAAAAAACAAAGCAGGACCCCCCAAAGCAGCACCACGGGAGCCTGGAGTCAGGGACCACTGCATGGCACCCCAAAAATGTCCCAGAAGGAGCCTGGAATTAGGGCTGGAACCCCAAAAAAATGTCCCAGAAGGAGGCTGGAATTAGGGTTGGCACTATGGGAACCCCAAAAAATGTCCCAGAAGGAGGCTGGAATTAGGATTGGCACCATGGAACCCCAAAAAATGTCCCAGAAGGGGGCTGGAATTAGGGCTGGAACCCCAAAAATATTCCAGAATTAGGCTGGAATTAGGGTTGGCGCCATGGAACCCCAAAAAATATCCCAGAAGGAGCCTGGAATTAGGATTGGCACCATGGAACCCCAAAAAATGTCCCAGAAGGAGCCTGGAACTGGGGCTGGCACCGTGGTGGTGTCACCCCCTGAGCCCCAGCATCATTCACAGCACAAAAACTGCAAAATATTTTCCCATTTTGGGGCCCAATTTGTTGTTTTTTTCTTTTTTTTTTCAGCTTCACCCAGCTCCTGCTCACCCCAAATATCGAACGCTCCTAAGTATTTTTCACCCCCCAAATATTTCCAGCGGGATTTGGGTCCTTGGATTCCACATGCAGCCCGTGCCGGGATAATTCCGGGATAATCGGTGGCTCCGGCTCCCACTGGAGGCAGCACATCCCAGGAGAGCCGCGGCACCTCCCAGAGCTGCCAGAGGCAGCGCTCCCGGCCGGAATTCCGGCTCCAAAAGGGTTAAACCCAGCGAGGAGAGAAACCACCTGGAAATGTAAAGTGCCGTTTATTCATTATTTCCCCCACCCTCCCCATCCATGATGAAAATATCGAGTTTAAAAAAAAAAAAAAATTAATTGCACCACCAAACTGCTTCATCCACGCTCTCCTCCTCCTTTTCCTCCTCTTCCTCCTCCTCCTTTTCCTCCTCTTCCTCCTCCAAAACCCAGCACCAAAACCGATGGAAAACAGCCCAAAATCTGAGGAACCTTCCCTGCTTCCCACATTAAATAAGAGACAAAATCCACCACATGGAGCACCCCACGGCTCCAGGGTGGCTTGGCTGGGCATGAGCTGAGCCAGCAAGCACAGACCCCTCAAATCTGGGGTGTTCCCCCCCAAATCTGGGGTGTTCCCCCCCAAAATTGGGGTGTTCCCCCAAAAAAATTGAGGTGTCCCCCGTTTGGGGACGTGGTTGCCCTGTGGGTTGGCCCCAGGCAGGGCAGTGCCTCTGTGCTGTGCTGGAAAATAGGAAAGGAAAAGGGATGAGGGATTTGGGGTAACCCAGCCCTGGTAGTTAATTTTTGGGGGGGCTGCCATGGTGGGGACCCAGGGCAGGCAGGGGGATGGCAGCTGCCAGCCTGACTGAGTGAAAAACAGCCAAAAAAAATAAGGAAAACACCAAAAAATTCCCACTAAACTTCCCAAATCCTCATGGTGGGGGGGGCTCAGGGGTTGCCAAGCCCACATGGGGAATAATTCACCCCAAAATCCACGTGGTGGGAAGGGAGGGGGTCGGGCCTGGGATCTGTCCCTCGGTGGGAGGGACAATCCAGGGACAATGTGGGCTCGGGGTGGGGTCATCCCTGGCCAGGGGGCTCTGACAGGGAATCCTGGAGCTCTGCCACATCCACAGTGGCTGAGGCCAGCCCTGGGATGGGCTGGAGGCAGCTGCGGGGGGAAAATGCAGCCTGGAGGGTTCCCTGTGCCATCCCCGATGGCATCAGGAGAGGGACCCCAAGCCCGGGCACAGCCGGGCTCTGCCTGCACCTCTCCAGGCAAGGAAAACCCAAAATCCACACTCAGGTGGGCACGGAGAAGTGGGAGCCATCCCCATCCCCATCCCCATCCCCATCCCCATCCCCATCCCCATCCCATCCCATCCCAATCCCCATTCCTATTCCTCCCATCCCCATGGATCCAGCCCCTCCCTGGACACCCAGCTGCGACAAGGCAGGCTTCAAAGGAACCGTTTAAACCAAGCAAAGAGGATGTGTGCTCTGAGCCCGGCTGTGCCCCCAGGCAGGACAGTGACAGTGCTCCGGGCCACCCCGGGCAGGGTTTCTCCATTCCTGATCCCACCCGTTCTCCATCCCACAGAGGAAACCAGGGGTGAGGGGAAGCAGCAGCTGCCCCTCATCCCCGCACCACCTCACATCCCCCCTAACCCGAGTGAACACACTTCCAAAAAAACCCAAAAAAACCAAAAATAAACCCAAAATAAAGAAAAACCAACATAAGCAGCACCACAATTCCCAAGTGTCAGGAGCTCCAGAGCTGGAGCAGAGGCCTGGAACACCCCCAGATCCGAGGGGAGCCTGGAGCTGCCCCGGGGCCGGAGCTTTGGCGCTGGGAGGGAGGAAGGAGGGGCAGCTGTGCCCTGCAGGGAGGAGAGGAAGCGGTGCCAGAGGCAGGAGTGCCAGAGGCAGGAGTGCCAGAGGCAGGAGTGCCAGAGGCAGGAGTGCCAGGCCAGGCTCACATGGCAGCTCGGGTGGGAGTGCTGGGCTGGTTCAGCCGCAGCGTCCGGCACAGCCAGCCCGCGAAATCCACCTCCTCCACCTCGGAGCGCTTGATGAACGTGTGGCTCTGCAAGCACAGGGGGAAACACGCTCAGGAACAGCCCAGAGGAGCAGCCCAGACCCCAAAAAGCCAGCCCTGTGCTGTGGGATGTGCCCTGCAGAGGGGGGGGAAGATGCTGGTGCCACAGCTGAGGCAGGGAAAGAGGATTTGGGGAGAACATGCCTCCCACCATCACACGGAGGAATTCCTTCCCAATCTCCCACCCAGCCCTGCCCTCTGGCACTGGGAGCCATTCCCTGGGTCCTGTCCCTCCAGCCTTGTCCCCAGTCCCTCTCCAGCTCTCCTGGAGCCCCTTCAGGCCCTGGAAGGGCTCTGAGCTCTCCTGGAGCCCCTTCAGGCCCTGGAAGGGCTCTGAGCTCTCCTGGAGCCCCTTCAGCCCCTGGAAGGGCTCTGAGCTCTCCCTGGAGCCCCGTCAGGCTCTGGAAGGGCTCTGAGCTCTGCCTGGAGCCTTCTCCTGTCCAGGTGAGCACCCCCAGCTCTCCCGGAGCTCCAGAGGGGCTCCAGCCCTGGAGCAGCTCTGGGGTCTTCTCTGGACTCTATCCACCAGCTCCAGGTGCTCCTGCTGCTGGACCAGAGCTGGAGGCAGCTCTGCAGGTGGGGTCTCACCTGAATCCCCCCTTTCCCTGCTGCCCAGGACTCTGCTGGATCTCTGGGATCAGAGCACAGCTGGGGTCCAGCCCCCAGTGCCACCTCAGTGCCACCTCAGTGCCACTCCCTGGCCAGCTGAGGAGCCAGGGCTGCCCCAGCACCTCCCAGGGCTCCCAGCAGAGATCCAGCACTGGACAAAGGGGGTCAGTCCCTCCCTCTGCCCCACCCTGAGCCAGCCTGGCAATCCCCAGCCTTTGGAGCAGGAGGGATGGGGCAGAGCTGGCAGAGCTGGTGCCACCCCAGTGCAGCAGAAAAATCCTCTCCCCACTCACCATCAGCATCTTCAGATCTGCTCGCTCTGCTGGGTTTTTAATTAAGCTGAAATGAGAACAAGAGAGGGAAGCCAAGGTGAGATTCCTTGTGGGGACCAGGCTGGAGAAGCTGCAGCTTCCCCCAAAACCCCTCAGGATCCCAGGAGAGGGATCCCTGCCAGCTCAGCTCCCAGGGAGAGCTGCAGGATCCATCTCTTCCAGACTGTGGGGACAAATTGTGCCCTGCAAATGGAGAAAAGGCCCTAAAGCTTGGCAGCAATCTGGGATTTAATATCCAATCCCTGCTTCACTGGGAGCTCTGGCAGCACCTTCAGGTGTCCCTGAGCCCACGGGGTGACTCAGCCCTGGGATCTGCTCCACCACCCCCCTTGCCAGGCTCAGATTTAGAAGGAGCTGGGATCCTGCTCAGCAGCCCCACAAATAAATTGCTTTTATTCCAACCCTTCCCAAGGCAGGAGCTCCCGGCACAACGTGGGATTAGGCAGGGAGAGAGAGAGATCAGGCAGAACACAGAGGGTGGAGCTGCAGAGCTGTCAAGGAGCACGTCCAAGCCTCCACCTTCAGCCAGGAGATGAAATCCTCACCATTTATTTACAAACTCCTGGAAATCTTGCGTGAAGACTCCACTTGGCAGCTTGGGAGGTGGCTGTGGAGAGAAGGAAAAGGGGTTCCTGTGTTACTGTGCCAAAAATCAGTGTCAGATGCAGTGTCAGGGAGCTGTGCTCTACAGCCACTCTCATCCTCCTCATCCTCACTGCTTTTCCAGCCAGGAAAAACCTTCCCTGCCACTCCTTCCCCTGCTGCTCCAGCTCCCTCTGCACCCGGGGGACCCCACACTGAACCCCAGCCAAAGCTGGGAAATCACCAAGCATCCCAATCCTAAATCCAGCCTCACAAATCCCAGCTCTGGCCATGCCTACGGCTGATGAAACAATCCCAAAAGGAGAATTTTCCACCACCCTGTTTGTGAGAGCTGTGCTTGCAAGTTGGGTAGGACACAGGGGATGGCCTTAAGCTGAAGAAGGGAAGGTTTAGATGGGATTTTGGGAGGAAATTCCTCCCTGTGAGGGTGGGGAGGGGCTGGGATGGATTTCCCAGAACAGCTGGGGCTGCCCCTGGATCCCTGGCAGTGCCCAGGCCAGGCTGGAGCAGCCTGGGACAGTGGGAAGTGTCCCTACCATGGCAAGGGTGGCACTGGATAAGCTTCAAGTTCCTCCCAAGCCAAACCATCCTGGGATTCCATGAGTGACCAAACATTCCAGATGCCACCCTGACCCAGCAGAGCAGAACATCCCTGTGGAGCCTCTGGGCAAACAAACACCCACCTCGTTAACAATGTAATCCAGCAGCTCGAAGATGGCCATGGCAGGCCTGGAGTCCATCCCGTGCCCTGGGGGGTGACACGACACAAACGGTGCTCAGAGGCTGCTCAGGGCTCAGTTTGGGGTGAAAAACACGATTTTGGGGGAGCTCTGCTGGGAGAGGCTGAGGAAACTCCCAGGGGAATTGAGTCGTGGTTAAAGAGAAACCAAGTTCACTCCCAGAATTTGGATTTCTTTCACCAGACCAGTCCAGATTTATTTATGTTTGGACAGCACCAGAGCATCTACTCTGGCTGGCTGGCAGCACTTCCAGAGCCTTCTGCTCCCAAGGAAACGGCTCCAGCAGAGCCTCCCTGGAATCCTGGTGCTGTTTGGTGCTTCTGTGAGAGCTGCCAGCACAGCTCTTCCCAAAAAGCTGCCCGAGGCCTCAGAAGAAGCTGCTGGCAAGGCCTGAGGAGCACAAGGGGCTGTGACAACGGTTTGAGGGACATTCTCTCCACGGGAGCCACATTCCAGCTGCACCCACAGCACGGGGAGGGGCTGAGAACAGGGATCACATCTTTGTGGGACACAGGAACCCACGGACAGCTCCCAAATCCATCCTCCCCACGCTCCCACCTCGATTCCACCAAGCTGAGGCGGGGTGGGCCGTGCTGGAGCGAATGCTGATTTCCCTGCCAAGATTCCCAGCAGAGCCTGGTGCAGGGCAGCTCCCCCGCTGCTCATCCCAACCCCTCATCCCCCATGGAAGCGTTGCTGCCCATGCACACCACAGCCCCTACCACTGACGGGGCGTCCTGGGGGCCGGGCCCGCGGCGAGATGCTGGGGGACTCTCCCTCCGCCCCGTCCACCACAGGACGGCCAAAAATTGCTTCCAGTTCCTTGGAGTCTGGCGGGGGGATTGGGTACCTTCCGATCGACAGCTCCACTAGGGACAGCCCCATGCTCCAGATGTCCGACTGCACCGAGTAGTGCGTGCCCTGCAGGCGCTCGGGCTGCGGGGAGAGCACGGCCTCAGGGTGGGAGAGTGGGGATGGGGACAATGGGGATGGGGATGGGGAGAATGGGAATGGGGATAACGGGGAGAGCACGGCCTCAGGGTGGGACAATGGGGATGGGGACAATGGGGATGGGGACAATGGGAATGGGAATGGGGAGAATGGGAATGGGGGTAACAGGGAGAGCACGGCCTCAGCTGGGAGAGCGGGGATGGGGAGAATAGGAGTGGGGAGAATGGGAATGGGGAGAATGGGAATGGGAATGGGGGTAACAGGGAGAGCACGGCCTCAGGGTGGGAGAATGGGGTTGGGGAGAATGGCACTGAGAATGGGGGATAATGGCACTGGGAATGGGGGATAACGGGGAGAGCACAGCCTCAGGGTGGGAGGGGAACGGGGAGAATGGGAATGGGAATGGGGATAATGGGAATGGGGATGGGGATAATGGGAATGGGGAGAATGGGAATGGGGAGAATGGGAATGGGGAGAATGGGAATGGGGATGGTGATAACAGGGAGAGCACAGGGCTCAGGGGTGGGAGGGGATAATGGCACTGAGAATGGGGGATAATGGCACTGGGAATGGGGATAAAGGCACCCAGGGCACAGGGAATGGGGGTGACATGGAATGCTGGTCCCCAGAGCACAGGAACACCCACTGACATGGGATAAGGACCCCCAGGACACAGGAACATGGGGTAACATGGGACAGTGACACCAAGCACAAATATCCTGTAGGGATCAGACTCACTCCAGTGCCTAAAGGGGCTCCAAGGGAACTGGAGAAGGACTTTGGACAAGGGACAGGACACAGGGAATGGCTTCACACAGACAGAAGCAGGGACAGATGGGATATTGGGAAGGAATTCTGCCCTGGGAGGGTGGGCAGGCCCTGGCACAGGTGCCCAGAGCAGCTGGAGCTGCCCTGGATCCCTGGAATGTCCAAGGCCAGGTTGGAGCAGCCTGGGATAGTGCAAGGTATCCCTGCCATGGAGGAGCGGGACTGGATGGGCTTTAAGGTCCTTCCAACCCAACCCATTCTGGAATTCTGTAATATCCCAAAGGCCTCTCCATGGCAGCTCTCCAGGGAAAGGACAGTCCCAGAAGGATCATGTGCAAAGGGGATGGAAAAGAAGAATGATGTGCAGACAAAAAGCACTTGGAGCATCTAATCCACACTCCCAACTCAGCAGCATTCCCAGCTACTTGTGTTTGGGAGCTGGAACACCCAGCAGGAATCTATTTCTCCGTGTGCTGAAATCTAAGGAACTCAACTTATCCATAAAAATGTATTTTCCTGCTCTCTGCTGTTAACACTCAAGAGGAACCAGAGGAGCAGAAAATCCACTTGAGGTTATGGCCATTAAAAGAAAAAATTAGAAATAAATCAATCCATGCAAGTCATCCCCACTGGCAGCTCTGAGGCAGCCTGGAGCCAGGGCCTGGGAGCAGAGGGGACAGGATTTTTAAATAGCCCCTGTCTAACTATAACTGCACTTGAATAACCATTCCCAAAATACAGGAGCAGCTCAGACCTCAGGATCCTTCCCTGGGAGGGTGGGCAGGCCCTGGCACAGGATCCCAGAGAAGCTGGGGCTGCCCCTGGATCCCTGGAAGTGTCCAAGGCCAGGCTGGACAGGGCTTGGAACAACCTGGGACAGTGGAAAGAGAGTCCCTGTGCACAGGATGGGGATGGAAACAGCTGAGATGAACCCAAACAACCCAAAAACCCCAGCTGGAAGGAACTTACAGACATGTAGGACCGAGTTCCCACAAAGGAGTTGGCCATGGAGTCAATGAGCTGCCCGCTGACCCCGAAATCACAGAGCTTAATCTCCCCTCTGGAATTCACCAGGATGTTGGAGGGTTTCACATCTGGGAACAGCGAGAGAGGGGAGTGAGAAGGTGGCTCTGGGTGACACCTGGCACTGCAGGCTGGGGTTTTCAGGGTCCTGCTCTCACCTCTGTGCATGATTTGGTGCTTCTCCCGCAGATAGGCCAGGCCCCGCAGAACCTGGGAGGAACCCAAGGCTGGATGAGAGCAGAGCTCAGGGAACAGCTCTGCCCTCAGCCCAGGGACAGCTGCCCCGTGGTGCCCATGTCCCTCAGGGTGTGCAATCTATCCCCAATTCCATCAGAGATTTTGGGCAAACCACCCCAAAAAAGCTTCTCCCAAACCGCCTCGAAGTGAAGGCAACATTATCCAGAGGGGTTGGAGGTGGGGAAAGGGCTTGGGAATATTTCCCCTCTGCTCTGCCCAGGAAAGTGCAGTCCCCAGGACTGGGAAACACAGAAAGCTTCCCAGGGCAGCCCAGTGATCATTCCCACGGCTGCCCTGCCTGGAATTCTGTAATATCCCAAAGGCCTCTCCATGGCAGCTCTCCAGGGAAAGGACAGTCCCAGAAGGATCATTTGCAAAGGGGATGGAAAAGAAGAATGATGTGCAGACAAAAAGCACTTGGAGCATCTAATCCACACTCCCAACTCAGCAGCATTCCCAGCTACTTGGGATCCCAGGAATTATTCCCAATCCCTGCCCAGCAAATCCTGCCTGGAAGCCTGAGCAGCCCCATCACTCACCGCTATACTGACTTTGCCCAGGATTTCCTCAGGAATTCTTTTGGCTTCTTTCAGCACTTGATCCAAAGAGCCACCATCCTGAAATAAAGAACATGGGAATGACCAACTCAGCAATCCCCAGCAGGAAAACAGAGCAGCTGGATGTACAGGGGAGCAGATGGTGGGTGGCCAGCATTGAGCACACTCCTTTTTCAGCCCTAAAGAAATAAAAGATCTGGTGATCTGAGCTCAGGTTCATCACTGAAAACTGGTTTTTTTAGCAGCTCTGCTCCTTGCTGTTGGTTCTTTGCTTCCTTGCATCAGTGGAAATGCCAAGATGGTGCTGATTTGGAGCAGAAATAACATAGTTCTCCACCAGAAACAACAGAATATGTTCACTGAGCCTCTCAGCAGGCTCCGCAGAGCAGCGGGTTGGCAACATTTCCGTTTGGCCAAGCCCCAAACCTCTGCTTCCTCTTCCCAAAAGTCGCTGTCTCCCTGATCCCGGGGCCTGGGCAGGAATGTGTGGCTCCCACCAGGAGCAGAGTGGCCAGAGCAAGGAGCTGCCAGTGCCCCAAGGCAGCGAGCTGGCAGGGCAGGGCTCACCATGTGCTCCATGCAGATGGAGATCTCCCCGTCGCTGTAGAAGGCTCCATAAAAGCCCACGATGTAGGGGGAGTTGCACTCGTGCAGCACCTGCAGCTCCCGGATGATCTGGTTCCTGATGGCTGGTTTGATTTCCAAGTGGATCAGCTGCCAAGAGAGGAAACAGGCAAGGTGTGACTCCTGGGAAGGGACAGAACTGACGGGCAGCAGCCCTGAGTGCTGGGAAGAAATCAGATCTTCAAGGGAGGTGCTGCTCTGGAGCAGAATTTTTCCCATTTTCAGACTGATATTAAGGATGAAGTGCCAGGACACAGGGAATGGTTTCCCACTGCCAAAGGGCAGGGATGGGTGGGATATTGGGAATAAACCCCAGGAGGGAGGTGAGGCCCTGCAATGGAATTCCCAGAGCAGCTGTGGCTGCCCTGGCAGTGCCCAGGGCCAGGCTGGACGTGGCTTGGAGCAGCCTGGCACAGTGGAAGGTGTCCCTGGCCATGGGAAGGGTGGCACTGGGTGGGACTGAAGGTCTCTCCAACCCCATCCCGTGGGGATTCCGTGCTGCAGGCACAGGGAGAGCTCTGTGCTGCCTCAGCCACAGAAGGCGCCGGGATTGCACCGGACACGGGTGGAAAGACAAGTCAGGAGCTTGATCTCAGCCCCTCTGAGTCAGCAGCCAGGAGCATTTTCACAAGCTCTGGAGGTGTTGTAAGAAGGTGCTCCCAGATCAAGGAAACCACAGAAAAGAAAAAGCCCCTGTGAAGGTTCTGCACAAGAACGAGCAGCGGCTTTAGGGGCACACGTGGGGCAGAGCAGAGCAGGGGAGAAACAGCCTGGGCTGGTGAAAGAGGCCCTGCCCTGGGAGCTGGGTGAGCTGTAGGGCCCCTTCCACCCCAAACCACTCCAGGATTCCCTGATCCCAACAGCAGGAGGGAGGAGGGACTCTGGAGGAGGCAGAGCAGTGCTTGTGCTGCTCCTGCCAAGCACAGCCTCTCCCAGCAGGCAGATGAAGCAGCTCCTGGTTTTCTGCTCCGTGGCACCACAGGAGATGTTCCCAGTGAAGCCAAGTCTGGGAGGAACCTCCGTCCCTGCTTGGAATGACCTTGGGATGTGTTAAATGGGGCTGAGGGATGTGTGTGCCAAACCCATCCTCCCCACTGCCACGACCTGCAATCCTCAGGAGATCCAATTCCAGTCACTTTGCCCATCAGAACGGGGAAAAAAACAAAACTCTTGTTTTCCAGAGCCCAGGGATCTGTCCCGGGGAGCGCAGCTTCTCCCAGAGGAGACAGCTCCATCTGGGAGTCTGCTCCTGACCACGGCGAGCTGGTGAAGGTGCAAATGGAGAGAATGCAGGCAAACCCAGCCCTCCCTGAGGCAGGCAGAGCTCCAGGTGCTCCCCAGCACCCCCAGCCCCTCGTTACCTTCCGTGCCATAACGAGCCCTGAGGGTTTGTGCTGCACTTTGGTGACCACCCCGCCATTGCCAGCGCCCAGCTCGGAGATCCTCTCGAAGTCGTCGTCCTTCAGCTCCCCCACTTTGGCTTTCTGGGTCAGGAAAGCTTCCAGGCGCTTCTTCTGCTGTTCATCCAGCTCCAGCTCCTCCAGCTTCTTCTGCAGGTCCACCAGGTTAGCCCTGAGAGGGGAGGAGGAGATGGGCAGCAGCAGGGAAAAAAGGAGGGTGCAGCTCTCAGGAAACGATGGAAAATCATCCCCTGACACGTCCTGAGCCCCCCACAACGGGATCACCGGGACAGGGAGCCCTGGAGAAGCCCCTGCCCAACACACAGAGCCCAAAAATCATCCCCTGACACGTGCTGAGCCCCCACAATGGGATCACCTGGACAGGGAGACCTGGAGAAGCCCCTGCCCAACACACAGAGCCCAAAAATCATCCCCTGACACGTGCTGAGCCCCCACAATGGGATCACCTGGACAGGGAGACCTGGAGAAGCCCCTGCCCAACACACAGAGCCCCTCTGGAGAGGAGCTTGGGAGCAGCCAGGTGTTTTGGGAGGGCCAAGGAACAGGAAAAATCCTTTGGCCCTCACAGAGGCAGCAGCAGACGCTGCTCCCTGTCCCGGGGAGCCGAACTTGGCTGTGGTGTGTAACACGAGAAGGGCTTTCCACGGGGTCCAGCAGCTCCGTGACACCCCCAGCCCAAATCCCGAGCACAAAGGGGGGTCTGTGCTGCCCCAGCAGCAGCTGCCGAGCCCCCGCCGCCCGTGCCAGCTCCAGCTGCTCATGCCAGCTGCTGCCACCCCCCTGTCCCTCCTCACCCACACTGGGACACGTCGGGAGGGTCTCACCCAGCACCCCAGTACCCCCCCCACCACCTCCCACCCCACATATCCCATTGCTGAGCCCCCCCTGCTGCCCCAGGTGCCCCCCAGACCCCCATCCCAGCTCCAACCGGGGGCTCCAGGCCTGGCCCGGCACCCCCCAGGCCTGAGCTGCCCCCTGCAAACCGGGGGGGCCAGAGCAGCCTCCCCCTGCCCATCCCTGCCCTCCCAGCCCTCAGCCTTCTCCTCCAGCTCTGCCTCCCTGAGCCTCACCTGCCCCACAGCCCCAGACCGGGCCCGTCCAGCCCCCGGGCCGGGCCCCGCTCCCCCGGGCCTTCCCCGGTCCCCCGAGCCCGCCCCAGGTCCCCCCTCAGACCTTCCCAGGCCTCCCCAAACCTGTCCCGGCTCCTCCAGGCCTTCCCCGGCCCTCCCCGCGCCCGCCGTGCCCCGACCCCCCAGGCCCGGTGCTCGCTCTGCCCGGGCCCGGTGCCCCCCCCAGGCCCGGTGCCCGGCCGGGCCTGACTCACTCTGCGGAGCCGTCGGGGCTGGGCCCCTCGGCGGCGCTGGGGGCGATGTTGAGGGCGGGCAGCACCGGCTTCCTCTTGGCCGGCATGGCCGGGCCGGGCCGCGCCTGCGGGGCCGGGGGGGCGCGGCCGGCCGCGGGGGCGGGGCTTAAGGGCGCGCGGCGGGGCGAAGTCTCGCGAGATGTCGCTGAGGGGGAGAAGGAGGGGGCGGAGCTTCCCCGCCTGAGGGGCGTGGGCTGTGCGGACGGAGCGTTAATTAAATAAATTAAATAATCACTAATTAGCGACAGCAGCCCCTCAGCCCCTGCCTGCTCTGCTCACCCCGTTCCATGCGCGATGCCAAGCCCCGGGACCCCCGCGGTTCCTGAGGAGCGGCCCCGGGCGGGCGCCCTTTGCCCGCTCCGGCGGGGCCATAAAGCAGGGAGCAGCCGGGCAGAGGCCGTGGGGCGGCCGATAAGGGGCCGTGGCCTTGTCCCCGCGCCACGCCTGGGCCACACGGAGCCTTAGTCAGCTGTGTCCCCTCCCTGTGCTGGGACTCACTGAGGGGAGGCGAGCTGGGGCTGTGCCGGTGCCCCTCGCTGCAGGGGGATGAAGGTTCGGCACGGTGTATGAGCCCGGAACAGCCGTGAGGGACTCGGCGGGCTGGGTTGGGATGGGTTTTAAACACATCCCTTTCCACAGGGACACCTCCCGCTGTCCCAGGCTGCTCCGAGCCCCAGTGTCCAGCCTGGGCACTGCCACAGCTGCTGTGGGATCTGGATTGCCCACCCTCACAGGGAATAATTCCAAATTCCCAATTCCCCATCCATCCCTCCCCCTGTCCCTGGACAGCCATCCTCTGTGCGCTGTCCCTCCATCCCTTCTCAGCGGTCTCTCTCCAGGGGGAACCACAGGGCACCGAGGTGTTTTTGGGTGAGCCATGAGCGGCAGAGGCCAAGCGAACGTCCCCGGATATTGCCCTGAGCACGCATCGATGTGATCAACGCCGAGACGTCTGAAAAAGGGAAACTGTCCCCAAAAGTGGGTGAAGGTTCATGGACAATTATAGCACCTGGACTTCGCCCGGCAGCCCCGGCCCCTCCTGCCCCGCTTGGCAGAGGAGCACAAAAACATTTGGCTAATGAGTTACGGGTCCAGCCCCGGGGTGGCCCTGCCATCTCACTCTGACGGCCCCAATCAGGGCTGGGGCATTTTGCAATCTGGGATATTATTTCTGTGCAGTTGGAGTTTAAACTTTGCCATTCGGTTCAGGGAATCACAAAGGAGGAGGAAGAGGAGGAAGGTGAAGGCCGGGCTTGTTGTCCACCGCGCTCCCTGTGCTCAGAGAGGGCTGAGAGGACAAGCTATGGCATCTCCCTCAGGTATGTCCTGGCTGCCACCGCTCAGATCCCGTGCGGCCGTCAGGATTCTCTGAGAGGACTGAGGGTGAAGGACAGGGTGCAATAAAGCCCCGTGTCCACCTTGGCCAGACAAATGTCAAGGAATGACAACTGTCCCCAGCTGGCTTGGAGGACATTTGAGTCAGTTGGGTGGGTGGTGGGTTGGTTGGTTGGTCGGTCAGTCAGGCAGAGAGTTGAGTGGTCAGTCCATTGGTCAGTGGGCTGGTCGTTGGGGCAGTCCATCCATTGGTCATTTGGCCAACAGGCTGACCATTTGGTTTGTCTCTTGATCAGTTCACTGACTGGTCAACCAGCTGGTCAGTGGGTCAGCTGCTCGGGTAGCTGGGATGTCAGCTGGCTGATTGGCCAGGTGGGCTAATCCTCAGTGGCTCTGAGGCCAGGGTCTCAAGCAGTGCCTGGGGTGGCAGGGAGGGACTGAGTCCCCTCCCTGGGGTGACCAGTGGCTGCAGTGCCCTCGCCTCCACTTGCCACCCAGAATGATTAACCAGCCCTTGCAGCACGGCCACCTCCAGGAGGGAACCCCCTGCCTGGGCAGCTCTGGGTGGAAAACTGGAGGATTTGGGAACTTCTGCTGCTGGGAGGAGGGTGGGGCACTGCTATGCCTGGAGCCCCCACATCCTGTCCCACCCCTGTAGGGCTTTTCCAGGTGAATCCCAACATGCTCCTGCCCCCTCTGAGCTGCCCCAGGACTCGGGGTGTCCCCGGGGCCGTGCAGCTCGTGTGGGGGTGGCTCTGGGGGGTACCAGGGGCCTGGGCTGGGCAGTGACCCTGCCATCCCACAGCCATGGCCTCCAGCACGGGCAGCCTCGAGAGCCTGGACCTGCTGGATCTCCTCTTCGACCTGCAGGACGGGATCCTGCGCGAGGTGGAGCTGGGGACGCCGCCGGGAGCCTGGCCCCAGGACAGGGTGAGCCCGGCCCCTCCCCGCCTGGGCCCTGCTGGGTGACAGCCCTGCCGTGTCACAGCCCGGGCCACGGGCGCTCCCGGTGACGCTGCCGTGTCCCCACAGCGTGCCCCGGACAGCAAGGACTTGCTGAGCTCCGTGCTGGGCTCCGGGGACTCGGTGTCGGACTCGCCCAGCTGGTCCCCGGCCACCAGTGACAGCGGGGTGTCCGAGGACCCCCCCTCTGACCAGCACGACAGCCCCCCCCGGAGCTGTGATGGGGGTCCCCGAGAGGTCCTGTACCCCTACACCGAGCCCTGCCGGGCCCAGCCCCTCCCGGCGGGGGCTGGGGTCCTGCAGCCCGAGGTCTCCATCGACCTGGGTGAGCCACACTGGGGAAGGACCAGCTGGGGGCACTGGGGGGACTGGGGACACTGGGGAGCTGAGAGCAGTGGGGAGGGGGGGGACTGTGAGGAAATTAAGGGAGCTGGGGGAAACTGGAAAGAACTGGGAGGTCTGGTGGGCTAGGGAGGAGATAGGGAGAGTGTGGAGAGATTGGGAACTGGGGGAAACTGGGCAGACTCGTGGTGGGGGGGACTAGGGCAGGACCAGAAGGACAGTGTGGGGGGACAGAGTCAGGGGCACCGGACTGGGCACAAGTCACCCTGGTTCTGGGGCCACCCCAGGGGGAGGGTCCTGCAGTGGGGACACTGGGGACACAGCTCTGTAGACAGCCGTGCTCTGCCTTCCTCCAGACATGTGGCACCCTGGGTTCTTCCTGGAGGAGAGCCAGGACCTGCCCGCGGTCCCCCCGCCCGCATCCTGTGCCCTCACCGTCAAGGACCTGCTGCTCTCGGGCAGCTCTGACAACGTGAGTCCCTGTCCCTGTGTCCCCAACACTCCCTGTCCCCAGCCTGGACCCGGAGCATCCCCCATTCCCATCCCTATCCCTCCCCATCCTCACACTTGTTCCCTTTCCCTTCCTGGTCCTTGTCTATGATCCCTGACCCTTCCTGGCACCTTCACCGTGGTCCCAGCCAGTGTCCCTGGGGCCAGGCGGGGGGTGACCCCACCCAAAGGTGTCACCATTCCATGGTGACAGCATTCCATGTCCCCACAGCAGCCACAGGCTCCTGGCTCCCTGCTCCGGCCGAGCCAGGGCCACTTCCAGGAGCTGGTGCTGACGGAGGACGAGAAGAAGCTGCTGTTGAAGGAGGGGGTGACCCTGCCCACGCAGCTGCCCCTCACCAAGGTGGGTGCCAGGAGTGGCAGGGGTGTGGAGTGGGGGTCCCAGCCCTGGTGGCCCTGACCCCCCGTGTCTCCCCCAGTACGAGGAGCGGGTGCTGAAGAAGATCCGGAGGAAGATCCGCAACAAGCAGTCGGCTCAGGAGAGCCGCAAGAAGAAGAAGGAATACATCGATGGGCTGGAGAGCAGGTACAGAGCCCAGCCCCTCACCTGGGCACGGTGGCACCCTGGGCACTCTGCTCCTTGCCAGCCCTGTCTCCTGACCCCACGCTGCTCTCCCTGTTCCAGGATGTCGGCGTGCACGGCTCAGAACCAGGAGCTGCAGAGGAAAGTCCTGCACCTGGAGAAGCAGAACTCGTAGGTGTTCCTTGCGTGGGATGGGGACAAGGTGGGGTGGGAAATGTTGGCAAGGAGGCTCATGGGCTCTCCCTGTTCCCAGATCCCTCCTGGAGCAGCTGAAGAAGCTCCAGGCCATGGTGGTTCAGTCGAGCAACAAGGCAGCACAGACAGGGACCTGCCTGGCGGTGCGTGGGGCCTCCAAAGCCTGGGAGCCTGGAGATGGGCTGGGAGGGAGGGATGGATGGATGATGGATGGATGGATGGATGATGGATGGATGATGGATGGATGGATGGATGGATGGATGGATGGATGGATGATGGAGGTGCAGTGGTAGGACATGAACCAGAAGGGAGGGATGGCGGAATAGATGCACTCCTGGGTCTGCCACCAGCTGTGAGCCAGATCCTGGTTCCCCTCCCCTGCTGTGCTCAGTGATGTCCCCTCTGTCCCCAGGTCCTGCTGCTCTCCTTCACCCTCATTGTCTTCCCCTCCATCAGCCCCTTCGCCCCCAGCAAGGCTGAGGCAAACGGCGACTTCAGGCCCGTGCGAGGTGAGGGCTGTGCTGGGCTGGGCTGTGCCAGGGCTGGGCTGTGCCAGGGCTGGGCTGTGCCAGGGCTGGGCTGTGCCAGGGCTGGGCTGTGCCAGGGCTGGGCTGTGCCAGGGCTGGGCTGTGCCAGGGCTGGGCTGTGCCAGGGCTGGGCTGTGCCAGGGCTGGGCTGTGCCAGGGCTGGGCTGTGCCAGGGCTGGGCTGTGCCAGGGCTGGGCTGTGCCAGGGCTGGGCTGTGCCAGGGCTGGGCTGTGCCAGGGCTGGGCTGTGCCAGGGCTGGGCTGTGCCAGGGCTGGGCTGTGCCAGGGCTGGGCTGTGCCAGGGCTGGGCTGTGCCAGGGCTGGGCTGTGCCAGGGCTGGGCTGTGCCAGGGCTGGGCTGTGCCAGGGCTGGGCTGTGCCAGGGCTGGGCTGTGCCAGGGCTGGGCTGTGCCAGGGCTGGGCTGTGCCAGGGCTGGGCTGTGCCAGGGCTGGGCTGTGCCAGGGCTGGGCTGTGCCAGGGCTGGGCTGTGCCAGGGCTGGGCTGTGCCAGGGCTGGGCTGTGCCAGGGCTGGGCTGTGCCAGGGCTGGGCTGTGCCAGGGCTGGGCTGTGCCAGGGCTGGGCTGTGCCAGGGCTGTGCTGAGCTAAGCTGTGCTGGGCTGTGCCAGGGCTGTGCTGAGCTAAGCTGTGCTGGGCTGTGCCAGGGCT